TAGAATAGAATAGAATAGAATAGAATAGAATAGAATAGAGCTGGAAGGGATCTTGGAGGTCTTCTAGTCCAGCCCCCTGCTCAAGCAGGAGAACTATACCATCTCAGACAGGTGAATGTCTAGTCTCTTCTTAAAAATCTCCAGTGATGGAGCGCCTACGATTTCTGGTGGCCAGCTGTTCCACTGGTTAATTGTCCTCACTGTCAGGAAGTTTCTCCTTAATTCCAGGTTGCTTCTCTCTTTGATCAGTTTCCAACAATTGTTTCTCATCCTTCTCTCTGGTACTTTGGAGAATAATTTAACCCCCCTCTGCCTTGTGGCAGCCCCCCAGATACAGGAACGCTGCTATCCTGTCTCCCCTATTTCTTCTTTTCTTTAGACTAGCCAAACCCAAGTCCCGCAGCCGTTCTTCGTACGTTTTGATCTCCAGGCCTTGGATCATCGTAGTTGCTCTTCTCTGTGTGTAAGAGGCCAGGCACAGACGATGGGTAGCTTATAAAGGGACTCTCCCATGGACTGGCATTTAACCCTGACGATGTCGGGAGGATTCCGACGAAAGCTTGGTGTGTATATGTTTTGTGTTATTAAACTTTTTTAGTTTAATATACTCCTGGTGCTCACAGCTTGTTTATTGAAGATGATCACACCCAGGAGTCACGTTTTTAGTTTTAATGTCATTAGAAGTATATATGGAATTTTTCCGTGCCATAGCCGGGACTTTTATTCTCAAATTGGGATGTTGATTTCGAAGGAGGTGTGTAAGACCGACAGTGCTGCAATATTAATAAGGGTGTGAAATATACAATCCTGGGTTGTATAAACAGAGGCATAGAATCAAGATCACGCAAATTATTAGTACCGCTTTATAAAGCCCTGGTGAGGCCACACCTGGAATACTGCAGCCAGTTTTGGTCCCCATATCACAAAAAAGGTTGAGAGTTTGGAAAAAGTTCAGAGTGTGTATATGTTTTGTGTTATTAAACTTTTTTAGTTTAATATACTCCTGGTGCTCACAGCTTGTCCCCCTTAGCAATAATCAGCATTTTTTTTCACCTACAGCTAATCCTCAGTTTACCATCACAATCATGAATTTCCACCGCTAAGCCAAGCAGCGGTTAAATGACCTGCACCTAGATTTTACAACCTGTGTCGCTACCGTTCTTCAGCAAATCGCCACGGGTCCTTAAGCGAATCCCGTGGTCGTTAACGCGAATCCGGCTCACCCCCCCCTTTGCTGGTTGGGAAAGGTCCCAAACGGCGGTTACACAACCCCGGCATCCTGCAACTCTCGTAAATGCATGCCGGTTGCCAAGTGCCTGGATTATGATCGTGTGCCTGTGGGGGGGAAATGCTGCGACGGCCGTAAGTGTGAGGACCGGTCGTAAGTGCGAGGACCGGTCGTAAGTGCGAGGACCGCCCCTAAATCACTTTTTTTCAGCGCCATTGCAACTTCAAACAGTTGCGAAACAAACGGTTACTCGTATCTCTGTTTGAAAAGATAACCAGCCGTATCGTCTGTCTCGGAGATACGGCAAGGACAGGAAAGAACTGGAGAATCTCAAGAGGATTTCACGGTGTTTATTAAAGGATGTGGGGGTTCACCCCGGCAAGCTATTGGGGGGGGGTGGTCAGGCTAAGAGCGGGGAAGGCAGAGAAGGGAGAACTCTTGGGGAGGGAGGGGGGTGCCCGATGCCCGTGGTGCCAGCTGGCGTCCCGCGTCGTGTTTGAAGCCCTGAAGCCACAGATGAGGAAGGCAGTTCCCGGTTCGCTTTCTCTCCTTTTTCCCACCCGAAGGGGTCGGGGTAGTTTTCCGAAGGGACCAGAGGCTGGAAGACGGAGGTGTGGGAAAAGAGAAACAGGCACCTGGGCCAGAGAGAGAGAGAGAGAGAAAATTGATGCACAACAAACCCCATTACAAAATCTGCCAGTTCACACAACCCACTAAGCCTACACTCGGGTTCTTGCAGTTGTGGGAAAGCTGCACAGATGACCTCTGGAGTCCCCAAGAGACCTCTGTTTAGGATTTGCCTCATGCCTGCTGGTTCACACAACTCAGCTTTCCCCACAACTGCCAGAACCTGGATGTAGGTTTAGCGGGCTGTGCGAACTGGTAGACCCACAGATTTGACCCCCATATTGCTTAAAACAAGAAGACATTTTTGGGGGGGGACTCTTGGGGACTCCGGAGATCATCTGTACAGCTTTCCCAGCTGCAAGAACCTAGGGGTAGGGTTAGCGGGTTGTGTGAACTGGCAGATTTGACCCACAAATCCCCCAGTTCACACAATCCACTAAACTTACACGCAGGGTCCTGCAGTTGTGGGAAAGCTGATCTCCGGAGTCCCCGAGAGTCTTGTTTTGGATTTGCCTCACGCCTGTTGCCCTCCTGCTGGTTCACACAACTCACAAAATCTGCCGGTTCACACAACCCCCTAACTAACCCTACACTCAGGTTCTGGCGCAGAAGAGCCGCGCAGATGAACTCTGGAGTCTGTAAGAGTTTTCTGTTGTGGCTGTTGCCCTCCTGCTGGTTAATATGACCCCACAAACCCGCTGATTCACACAACACACTAACCCTACATCCAGGTTTCTTGCAGCTGGGAAAGCTGTACAGATGATCTCTGGAGTCCCCAAGAGCCCCCCCCCCAAGTGTCTTCTGTTTTAGGTTTGCCTCAGGCTTCGTTGCCCTCCTGCTGGTTCACACAACCCACCAATCTCCTGCTTCACACCACCCACTGACCCGACGCCCAAGGGCTCGCACAAAAGAAGCTGCACAGATGACCTCTGGAGTGCCCAGCAGTCCCCTGTTTGGGATTCTCCCCCCCTGGCTGTTGCCCTCCGGCCTTCTGTGAGGCGATTTGCCCATTTTCCCCATGTTTTTCTGAGCAAAACCAACAGACCAAGGTTCAAAATGGTGGTGCCGGAGGGGAGGGGAGAACTGCAATTCCCAGCATTCTCCGAGCTCTGCCGCTCGGAATGCTGGGAGTTGAAGTCCACAATCATCCTAAGAGGCTTCAGCTAGCAGGATTTCTAGAGTTGGTGCAGCCTCTCGGTC